TCATTTGTTTAGTGTTATACCAAAGAACACCAAAATAATACACTTTATGCCGTTAGGGTTAGGGTTAGGCCGTTAGGGTTAGGGTTAGGCATTACTCGTTGGAAAAGCAATAGGCCCTTACCCCGGTTGGGGCTCGGGCCTAATAAACCAAGGAATTTTTTTTTTTAAACTTTGAGCAAAAACAATATAGGTTTCCATAGTAACCTATAATACAAATGATACATCGTTTTAAAGCGAACGACCAGACGAACGCAACTATTGTGTTCTCGGTGATTGACGAGCGCTGACGCGCTCGTCAATCACCTCGCCATCATGAGGTCACCCACCCCCCCCATAGAACCCCATTCATTACACTGTATACTACAGCAGGAGCAAAGCCATTCAGTGCCTCCGGCACTGTTTTGTCAGTGTCTGGGCACGCGCCGTCGGGCTTGGGGGACGAATGTCCGGGCTTGTGCAAATGGTGGCATTTAATGTTGTACAACAGCGCCCCCTACAATTTAATTTTTTTTGTGTTGTACCAAAGAAAACCAAAATAATAGACTTTATGCCTGAAAAAAACTTGTGGCAAAGATCAAACAACACAAAACCTAAATTCCTGTATCCCCATGTATACCTTTAGTCAGCCTGTAGGGGGCACTAATGGGCCAATGTCATTGTTCCCACTGTCATGTGACCTAGGCCCAGGAGTTGAACAATAGAGTCAATTTAGTGCTAATGTGCTCCTGTTTGCCCGTACAATCTGTGAGTGTGTCCATACAGTCTCCATTGGATAACATGAGATTTTCACACCTCTCTATGAAAATGACCACACTTTGGGGGTCTGTCACGCGCAGACCGTTTGACTAATTAAAACTCTATATGCAACTATTGATGGTCCATGTGTGGACACCATGTGGAGCGATTTTCAGACAAATTAGTGACACGGCCGAGGCTGGTTTGATGTTTGAGCGAGGTGTACTTTTCAGAGATTTAAGGATTTTCTCATAGACACAGACAGGGGAGTGTTGGTCGTTGCCACGGCAACAGGGTAAAAAATAACTATATGTTGTAATTGACTTTTTGAATTCAGATGACGAAACACAATTATGTGCAAAATTTCAAACATTTTGAAAAAACTAAATTTTATTAGGCCCATGTAAAACTTTGACATAGTCTGTAGGGGGCGCTAATGAGTCCATTTCAATATTTCAACTTTCAAATGATCTAGACCCTGGAGCTGAACAATGGATTAAAATTTGGTGCAAATCCGGCTTTGTTTGTGCAAATGGGAGCAAATTTACTTTTGTCAAAAATTGGAAAAAACATGTCACATTTTGCCGCTCCGCTGCTCGGACAACGTTTAACTGATCCAAATTCTATATTCAATAATAGATGGGACATGGGTTTAGACCATGTGGAGCGATTTTGAGACAAATCGGTGAAGCGACCGAGGAGATAATTTCCAGCCGACATGTGTGAAAAATATCAATTTTCATTTTTCCATTTTCCAATTAAATTAATGAGCTTCCTGTTTGTCAGGGGGCGGAGCCATAATAACTTTTTTTCCATGTCTTGACCTGAGGAACATGTGTACCGAATTTCGTGGCTCTACGACAAACTTGACCTCCGACCCGCTCCCATAGGCGCAATGTAAACTGACTTTTGTAGGGGGCGCTGTTCGGGCATTTTTTTTGTCCCATAAAAATAAACACCAAAAAATTTAATTTTTTGCCAGTTCTGAATTTTGGGCAAAATTTCACAACTTTTCATCAATGTTCAGGGGGTCAAAGTAAGGTTCAAAGCGCAGAAGAAAAAAGAAAGAAAGAAAGAAATAAATAAACCAAACCAAGGAATTTTTTTTTTTTTACTTCGAGCAAAAACAATATAGGTTTCCATAGTAACCTATAATACAAATGATACGTCGTTTTAAAGCGAACGACCAGACGAACGCAACTATTGGGTTCTCGGTGATTGACGAGCGCTGACGCGCTCGTCAATCACCTCGCCATCATGAGGTCACCCACCCCCCCATAGGACCCCATTCATTACACTGTATACTACAGCCCGGACATTCGTCCATAAGACAGTTGAAGGAACCCCCCTTTAATAGGACTTTAATCATTTCACTGTGTACTACAGCAGGAACAAAGCCATTCCGTGCCTCCGGCACGGATTTATCAGTGTCTGGGCACGTGCCGTCGTGTGCAGGTCACAATCTCCGGGCTGCGCCCGGAGATTGTGACTTATGACAGTTCAACGAGGCATTACTCGTTGGAAAAGCAATAGGCCCTTACCCCGGTTGGGGCTCGGGCCTAATTATTGATTAAAAAAGACTTGTTACAAAGAGATCTGACATTTAGCATAGCAAGTTTAAAAGTTTCAGGATCAGCGGTTGTGGTTGGCTGATTCTTACACGGAACAAGAATTAGATTTTCCTGATTAGACTGATTAACTTCAGATGTTTTTCTGTTATGTATTCTTTGTGTTATCACTAAGGGAATGGCACAGGTGGCTTCATGACAGGGCCCCAGCCGGGTCTCTCCTCTAACTAGACTGCCAGTGGCTGCGAAGCAGAGACCCTGTGCATCCTAGTGTTTAGAGAAAAGAGGGGAAGGGGAAGGCGGGGGAAGAGGATGGAGAGGCGGGTGGTTCTTGGGAGTTGGACGGGGAGGGGTTGAAGGTGGATGGGTTTTTGGTGATGGGTTAGGGGAGGGGCAGGCTGAGTTGGGTGGTGGACGAGGGGGGAGTGGAGGTGGAGGGTTTCTTGGTGCTGAGTTAGGGGGGAGGTGGGCTAAATGAGCAGGAGGGGGGGGGGTGGAATACTTATGGGGTTAGAGGAGGGACGGGTGGATTTTGTGGGAGAATTTGAGTTGGGCGCCCTAGGTGGCTTTGGAGGTACGTATGGGGAGTAGTTTTGAATGTTAGATAGGACTCTTGATCTGGCTACAGTGGGTGTGAGAGGAATAGTCTTCATCGCCGATCTTATCATGCCTGCAGAGTGTTCCGGTAAATCCAGTAGTGAAGGCGGGGATAGAAAACAAAGGGAAAGGTCGTCCTCATTTTCCCTAGATGGAGTGGATGTAGCGGGGGGGACCCAAGCCGGGTCCATGGAAGGTGATGAGGGAGTCTTTGGTGGAGACAGAGGTGGTTGAGGAACCCCCAGTACAGGCCTGACTGTAGCCTGGAGCAATGGGGGAAGCTTCACGGGAGCTGTAGGTGGGGAAGGTGCTGCTGAAGATGATGGAGCAGCCACTGCTGCTGCTGTATCCACTGCTGCTGGTGGTGCTGTATATGCTGATGGCGCTGATGAAGATGTGGCAGCTGCTGATGATGCTGGTGGTGGAGGCGTTGAGCTCTTTCGGAGCCGTGGGGGTGTTGAGTTCTTTTGGAACCTTGGAGGTGTTGAGTTCTTCTTGAATCGTGGAGGTGAGGAGTTCTTTTGAGGCGGTGGGGGTGCAGAGACCTCGGGAGTCGGTGGAGATGGTTGTGATGTCTGTGCCCTTTGCTTCTTCTTTCTCCCTTTCAACGGCTGCACGCGCTGCGCAGGCTGAGGTCTTAGGGCAGATGCAAAGTTATCCATCAACACTTTTACTCCGTAGTTGTTCAGATGTGGACCTTTTTCTTCAAAAAGCTCGTGCCTATTCCAGAACAGGTTAAAGTTTTCAATGAAGCCAAGTCCTCTGCGTGAACACTCATTGAGTAGGAATGTATTTAGCTGATACAGACGGCTAAACTTCTCAATTTTTCCATCTATATTTGGAAGTGGGCCACTAAGAAAAATGTTTATGTCCATTTTCTTGAGGTCATCCAGTAACAGCGTTAAATCCATTCGTAACTTCTCGCTTGCCTTCTCATAGATATCTACCGCCCCCGTGTGGATCAATAATGTACGCACACCACTGTTCTCAGATAACACTTTAGGCAGAAGAGTCCTTATCTCAGCAACTTTTGCAGAGTGAACTGAGACAGTGAGCATGGACTCCATGTTTACATTTTTCACCGAACCATCTCCGATAAGGACACAGTTTGTCCTTGGTGGAGGCGCTGCAGTTTTTAGCGGCTTTGTTGTTTCAGAAAGGGGTAAAAAGCGGTTTGAAGTCTTCAGAACATTTAGTTGTGGCCTTATTTCACTCCTATTGTCATTCTTAGCTTTGTCAACTTTGGGTTTAGCTACACAATTGTTCCAATAATTCTCATTGTTGATTTTGGGAAAAGAAATGACGTCATAACTTACATTTCCAGTCTGTCCATTCATCCCATTTTCACTCATTGGAAGAGTCGGGTTTAGTCCCATTTCCGTTTCCACAATAGATATCCGTGTTTGAAGAGATTTGAGCTGATTTTCCAGAGCACAACAGCCGCCGCAGACGCTTCTCCGTCTCTTTCGTCCCGACATGACTAAAGTTGATAAATTCCACAAAGCTGAAGTGTGTAGAAGGAGTAATCCTCGTTTTGTAAATAAAATGATTAAAGGAGAAACAAAAAATGTAAAAAAAATGATTCAAGGAGATTAAAAGGCGAAGCAAAAGCAGAGCAGAGAGACACGACTGCTCTCTCGAGAAGCAGGAAGCCACTCTACCTCCCGAACAAAATATGTTCCAGCTTCTTCCCTTTGGCATCGTCCGCTGAGATGCAGGACATCTCGCTTTGCTAACAGCTTTCCATAAGCTGTCATCAATTTAAACTGAGCACTTTAATGATCTTGAACGGTATTGAAACTGTTTAAGTCAATTGATTTTAGTGTCAATTGTTTCCTGTTTTATTTATTTACTTGTCCTGTGTACACTGGGGACTTTTGCACATGTTTCCAATGTGGTTTTACTCCATCCATCCATCCATTTCCTTCCCCTTAATCCATTTCTGGGTCGGTGAACCCTGGTTTAGGCTATAAAAACCATAAAGAAAATAATTATTAATTAATACACAATCCATGGGTTGGTGTAAACAAGGACCGCTGATCGTCTCTTGCGGCTGTACTTTGTTACGATATGTTATTAATTATCCTCCCCCCATTCCAGGGAAGAAAAGCAGCTCTTCACAAGTAAATGTAAGTACTGGAATTCCTGAAGTATATTTTCAGTAGTAATAATTAGTAATGTATTAATTACATTACTCTTGCAGTTGCAGTCCAACAAAGCCCGAGGTGAGTTGAGCCTGTGATGCAAAGAGCCAAGGTTCATGATTCATAATTATTGTGTTAATAATGTGTTATATCATCCTTCTTCAGGGCAGAAGCCAGTGAAGGTGTTCTCCATCATCTCAGCTCGGACAAATGGAGCTGACCGGCAGATCTTGGACCAGCTGACCGCTCAGGGCATCACACCTACAGATGATCCACACCAGAGCGATGTCATTCTGCTGTTTTGTCCAATCCTGACACGAATCGCATCTGACCTTGATGCAGCCGTCAGAAATATTCCAGGTTTGCTTTTCACACTAACACAAATCAAGTTTTGATGATTTCCTTCTGAGACAAAGTAACTACATGAACACAAAAGACAGTGGCTCAATCATTCAGACATGTGCATTTAAACTTTGAATGCAATGTTTGAAATCAGAAAATCACCATTGCATGTTTCCCTCTTTCATTTTCTATTACCCATTTTACATTTCCTATGAATTTCACCATCACTTCCCCCCTACCGGATCCAGGTAACCCTTGTGTGTACTGTCTAAAATTGATGAAGGGCATCCAGTGAATGAATTTGTAGCTTGATCAAATTTGGGATAAAATTTTAAGGATCCCTTGCGTCCCTCTTGCTCAGCCTCTCCATTTATCTTCTTCTGCTTTGGTCCCCAAACCGGACGCCCTATTGCCTCTGGCTGTGCCTAGAAATTCTGTTCATGAAAAAAGTGCACAGAACTGGTGACAAAGGGCAGCCTTGGCTGAGGCCAACATGCACTTGCAACAGGTTTGACTTTCTGCCGGCGATGCAAACGCAGATCTGACTCCGGCCATACAGAGACCGTACAGCCCTCAGCAGAGGACCCCCTACTCCCCGGACAACCCCCCAAAGAACACAGTTAAATGTCTTGTCTACAAATCCACAAAGCACATGTGGACAGGTTGGACAAAATCCCATGATGCCTTGAGTCCAGTGTCTGGGACAAAAACCACACTGTTCCTCCTGAATCCGAGATTCGACGATCAGTCAGAGTCTCCTCTCCAGTACCTTGGAGTATACCTGACCGGCTGAGGAGTGTGGTCCCATAACATTTGGACCTCACCCTCCAGTCCCCCTTCTTGAAGACAGTGACCACCGCTCCGGTCTGCCTCTCCATTGGCACTAACCCTGATACAGCCGCTATGTAATGTAATTTTCTCCTCATAGATGATACTCAGCCAGGTGAAGAACATACTGTAGTAAGTAATTGGGGTGAAAAACCATTCAAACAATTCATTCATTTAGGCTTATCTCATGTAGATCACTGTTTTGAATGGTGTTTAGCTACTCTTAACTATGCATGTTCAGGTTCAAATATAAAAAGATGTCAACATTTTCTAGGGAGCAATTTTATGTCGGTTTGCTTCGAAAAAAACGTTTTATCAGTTGAACGCAAATGACTCACAAGTGAGACTTTTGTGCATGCCTTCAGGTGAAAACATTTTCCCAAGGCGGGACGATAACAATATTAATCTGAAACCACAGAAAACATTACATGATCCATGATTTTATAGTAGTCTGTCTCAATATATATTATCATGTGTTCACAGATGGAGCAAAAGGCAAACCTGTGGTGTTGGTTCTGATGCATCACACTTTTGACCCAAACGAAGTCCTGGACAGAACCTGCTGGAGCAAACACTATCCCTGTTTAAAGGAGGAAGTGCGTGTGCTTTTCCATCAGACTTCAGGACTTCTGCAGTGCGACAGGAACAAGGAGGCGGTGCGGACCCTCAAGACCCTCTGTGACCAGTATGCAACACTAGGTAAAAAACACTTTTTGTTAAAGATCAACCATGAAACACTAGAAAATTCACCAGGTAACAACCATATGGTAACAACCATATAGTAACAACCATATGCACACAGATCTTTCCAATTGATGAACAGCTTCCTCTAGCTGCTGAATATGCGCAAAATCCCCGTCATCATCCCTGGTGAAAACAAACATTTTCAATTCAATATTCTGACGGATCAGAAGTTACCGTAGCAGCAACATATTCACAAGAAACTACAGACAGCTAACGCTAACAGCTTACGCTACTTCACAGGGCTCTCCATGATGATGGGGGACGCTTTCCATGTGGCTTGAGGGGCGTCGATAGCTTTGTCTTAACATATCGTACTCATTTCATTTCGTACATGTTGGGAATTAATAATTGACTGGAAATTACGGATGGCTAAGGCTTCGATGTTGTGTTGTCTTTCACATAGCTAACGCTAAATAATGCAGTTATTGTCACAAAATGGAGAATATTTCTACAAAAGTTGGGTATTTTTAACAAACTAGCTTGATGAAAAACTACATTACAGTCTGTCTCAGGTGAAAATCTGTATAATTCCTACTACTACTACTGCTGCCACTATTGAGTAAAATGATGCTTACCTGTTCAGTTGGAGAAAGACGAGTCGGTTTATACATCATGATTTCTTCACCGACCTAAAAGTCGTCAATATAAAGCTGGATCGAGTGACTGAGAGATTTGTGTTTTGGTCCAAACCCTCTTATGTAAGCGATGGCTATTGGAAGATATAACTATTTAAGACTTATATTAACACTACAAAAATGGTTTACTTCTGCTTTAAGTTGGATACTTTATGAAGATTGTCTGAGTGTCTATTTGTTATGAAGCCTGTTTGGTCTGGGTGGATGAGTGGAAGCGTGACTGTTTGGAGCCGCATAGGATTTTGTTAATTAGGATGTGCTTTTCACTTTTATAGTAAATTCTAAGAGAATATCAAGATTCTAAGGTTATTCTCAGAATTTGACCACTAGGAGCAACTCGTAGCACTAAGAATCTTTAGGAATACGATCCCAGGAGTCACTCAAGGGGCAGCTGGCGGCTCGCCAAGCTGTTGAAGCCGGCCTGCGACATTTTGTTTTTTTACTTTATTATTATTATCTCCCTGTCACTCTCCTGTTTTCCAAAATGTTTGGGCTTTTTTAATAATAATTAATGACTCTTCTACCTCCCGAACAAAATATGTTCCAGCTTCTTCCCTTTGGCATCGTCCGCTGAGATGCAGGACATCTCGCTTTGCTAACAGCTTTCCATAAGCTGTCATCAATTTAAACTGAGCACTTTAATGATCTTGAACGGTATTGAAACTGTTTAAGTCGATCGATTTTAGTGTCAATTGTTTCCTGTTTTATTTATTTACTTGTCCTGTGTACACTGGGGACTTTTGCACATGTTTCCAATGTGGTTTTACTCCATCCATCCATTTCTTTCCCCTTAATCCATTTCTGGGTCGATGAACCCTGGTTTAGGCTATAAAAACCATAAAGAAAATAATTATTCATTAATACACAATCCATGGGTTGGTGTAAACAAGGACCGCTGATCGTCTCTTGTGGCTGTACTTTGTTATGATATGTTATTAATTATCCTCCCCCCATTCCAGGGAAGGAAAGCAGCTCTTCACAAGTAAATGTAAGTACTGGAATTCCTGAAGTATATTTTCAGTAGTAATAATTAGTAATGTATTAATTACATTACTCTTGCAGTTTCAGTCCAACAAAGCCCGAGGTGAGTTGCACCTGTGATGCAAAGAGCCAAGGTTCATGATTCATAATTATTGTGTTAATAATGTGTTATATCATCCATCTTCAGAGCAGAAGCCAGTGAAGGTGTTCTCCATCATCTCAGCTCGGACAAATGGAGCTGACCGGCAGATCTTGGACCAGCTGACCGCTCAGGGCATCACACCTACAGATGATCCACACCAGAGCGATGTCATTCTGCTGTTTTGTCCAATCCTGACACGAATCGCATCTGCATCTGACCTTGATGCAGCCGTCAGAAAGATACCAGGTTTGCTTTTCACACTAACACAAATCAAGTTTCGAGGATTTCCTTCTGAGACAAAGTAACTACATGAACACAAAAGACAGTGGCTCAATCATTCAGACATGTGCATTTAAACTTTGAATACAATGTTTGAAATCAGAAAATCACCATTGCATGTTTCCCTCTTTCATCATCTATTACCCATTTTACATTTCCTATGAATTTCACCATCAATTCCCCCCTACCGGCTCCAGGTAACCCTTGTGTGTTCTATCTAAAATTGATGAAGGGCATCCAGTGAATGAATTTGTAGCTTGATAAAAATTTGGGATAAAATTTGAAGGATCCCTTGCGTCCCTCTTGCTCAGCCTCTCCATTTATCTTCTTCTGCTTTGGTCCCCAAACCGGACGCCCTATTGCCCCTGGCTGTGCCTAGAAATTCTGTTCATGAAAAAAGTGCACAGAACTGGTGACAAAGGGCAGCCTTGGCTGAGGCCAACATGCACTTGCAACAGGTTTGACTTTCTGCCGGCGATGCGAACGCAGATCTGACTCCGGCCATACAGAGACCGTACAGCCCTCAGCAGAGGACCCCTACTCCCCGGACAACCCCCCAAAGAACACAGTTAAATGTCTTGTCTACAAATCCACAAAGCACATGTGGACAGGTTGGACAAAATCCCATGATGCCTTGAGTCCAGTGTCTGGGACAAAAACCACACTGTTCCTCCTGAATCCGAGATTCGACGATCAGTCAGAGTCTCCTCTCCAGTACCTTGGAGTATACCTGACCGGCTGAGGAGTGTGGTCCCATAACATTTGGACCTCACCCTCCAGTCCCCCTTCTTGAAGACAGTGACCACCGCTCCGGTCTGCCTCTCCATTGGCACTAACCCTGATACGGCCGCTATGTAATGTAATTTTCTCCTCATAGATGATACTCAGCCAGGTGAAGAACATACTGTAGTAAGTAATTGGGGTGAAAAACCATTCAAACAATTCATTCATTTAGGCTTATCTCATGTAGATCACTGTTTTGAATTGTGTTTAGCTACTCTTAACTATGCATGTTCAGGTTCAAATATAAAAAGATGTCAACATTTTCTAGGGAGCAATTTTATGTTGGTTTGCTTTGAAAAAAAACTTTGTTCTCAGTTGAACGCAAATTACTCACAAGTGAGACTTTTGTGCATGCCTTCAGGTGAAAACATTTTCCCAAGGCGGCACAATAACAATAATAATCTGAAACCACAGAAAACATTACATGATCCATGATTTTATAGTAGTCTGTCTCAATATATATTATCATGTGTTCACAGATGGAGCAAAAGGCAAACCTGTGGTGTTGGTTCTGATGCATCACACTTTTAACCCAAACGAAGTCCTGGACAGAACCTGCTGGAGCAAACACTATCCCTGTTTAAAGGAGGAAGTGCGTGTGCTTTTCCATCAGACTTCAGGACTTCTGCAGTGCGACAGGAACAACGAGGCGGTGCAGACCCTCAAGACCCTCTGTGACCAGTATGCAACACCAGGTAAAAAACACTTTTTGTTAAAGATCAACCATGAAACACTAGAAAAACCGGTAACACTTGATAATACTGTTTGCTTTTAAATCATTTATAAATCATTGACTACTAGTTAATAAAACATGAACGTATGTCTTATTTATATTAAAAAATAATCATCTAAACATTAACAACTCATTAACAAGTGTTATTTGTTACTGTTCTGGAAACCATTACTTACTAAAGAACAAATAATCTTGTAATCATTAAGACATGTTTTATTTAAGTGTTTCAAACATGATTCAAACGTGATTTACTAATTGTTATTAATTCATTATCAAATGTTGATTATTCACATGTAAACATTATTATAACCATGTGCTACTCATGAGCTAATTATTAACAACTCATTTACAAATATATAATAAATACTTAATGATTGTTAATTCATTAAGAATGTTGAAATTCACATCTAATACTCATTACCTAAGTGTTTCCAGCTAATGAACAATGATTAGGTGATATGTTAAATATTCACCAACATCAAAATAAAAGTCATGATCTACATAGTATCAACTCATTTACTAAGTATTAATATCATGAACTACTCAGAAACAGAAAATATACAACACATTTTTCAATGTTTTATTGACATTTAATTATAAATCATGACATTATATAATACTTTACTAATGATTAGTACAATATTTCATGGTAATGGAATGCTCATATTAACAAATAATTTACAAAACATTGGTTATACCTTCTCATATGAACAGAGTGTACATTCATGTTTACTACTCATTAGTTACTCTTTTCCCAAACAGTATTATAAAGTAGGAACTGTTCCTCATTTCCTAATGATGACTAATTTATCTGTACATAAAATATAAAACATGAACAACTCATTAACAAATGTTTAACAACATTTACTAAGACCAACTACTCATTACTAACTCTGTTTTCAAACAGAATCAGAATAATTTTTATTGCCACTTAAGTAACAGGAAGTCAAAGACTTGGAAATTGCTTTGGCTCAGTGCAACAGTCAGAAAGAGATAATAAAAAATAAAGAATAAAAAACACTTCTAAGGAATACATTTAAAATTAAAATAGAGTTACAGTTACTATTTACAATATACAAGTGCACATGGTGCACCCAATGTAAGGTGACAGCAGTACAGTGAAGTAAAGTGACGTATGATGGGCAGTAAAGTGACTTTATAAAGGGCGGGGGGACAGGTTAAGAAGTGTTCAAGAGTCCAACAGCAGAGGGGAACAAACTGTTCTTGTGGCGGGAGGTTCTAGTCCTGATGGACCGCAGCCTCCTGCCTGAGGGGAGTGGTTGGAATAGTCCATGTGCAGGTGAGAGGGGAGTGGTTGGAATAGTCCATGTGCAGGTGAGAGGGGTCGGCTGTGATACGACCAGCCCGGCCTCGAGCTCGGGCGACGTACAGGTCCTGCAGCGATGGAAGGCTGCGGCCGATCACTTCCTCTGCAGAGCGCACAATGCACTGTAGTCTCTGTTTGTCCCCGACTGTGGCTCCAGCGAACCACACGGTGATGGAGGAGGTGATGGAGGAGGTGATGGAGGAGGTGATGGAGGAGGTGAGGATGGACTCGATGATGGCTGTGTAGAACTGCACCAACATCTGTGCAGGCAGCTTGGCTTTCCTGAGCTGCCGCAGGAAGTACATCCTCTGCTGGGCCTTCTTGATGAGGAGCTGATGGTCGGCTCCCACTTGAGGTCCTGGGTGATGGTGGTGCCCAGGAAACGGAAGGACTCCACAGAGGTGATGGGGGAGTCCATCACGGAGGGTGGGGGCGGGGGGACAGTGCTCTTCCTGAAGTCCACAATCATCTCCACTGTCTTCTGGGCGTTCAGCTTCAGGTTGTTACCACTCCACCAGGACACCAGCCGGTGGGGCTCCTGTATTTATAATCCGAGAGTCCGAGACATTCTTCCCCAGTCGCACTCGCTGCTTCCCGTCCGTCAGGAAGTCAGTGATCCACCTGCAGGTGGAATAGGGCACGTTGAGCTGGGAGAGCTTGTCCTGGAGCAGGGATGGCAGGATTGTGTTGAAGGCAGAGCTGAAGTCCACGAACAGGACCCTGGCGTAGGTCCCCGGGGAGTCCAGGTGCTGTAGGATGTGGTGGAGGGCCAGGTTAATGGCGTCGTCTACAGATCTGTTGGCTCTGTAGGCGAACTGCAGGGGGTCCAGGAGGGGGGAGGTGAAGGACTTGAGATGGGAGAGAACCAGGCGTTCAAATGACTTCATGACGACAGACGTAAGTGCTACAGGTCTGTAGTCGTTGAGTCCTGTGATCCTGGGCTTCTTCGGGACGGGGACAATGATGGAGGATTTGAAGCAGGCCGGGACATGGCAGGACTGCAGAGAGGTGTTGAAAATGTCTGTGAACACAGGAGTAAGCTCACTGGCGCAGTGTCTCAAGCCTAGTGTATACTTGCGCGGCGCTGATTACATTAGCGGTTGCGGTGGACCTCCGCAAGCACAATTTAATTTATACTCCTTGCGGAGTTTTGAGGAGAATGTTGTAATCGCACAACCAACCACACGATGGCGATCTCACAGGAGTTGCTTGAGATACCAAAGCGGTCTCATTTACGCTGCTATTTTCTCCTCTTCAGAACAAAAACATGAACAAAAACAAAGCTGTTTAAAATCATTACATGTGTTTCTACTGTAGGTTTATGTGATAGTTCTATGGACTAATTATTTCTTAACTAATTTAACTGTGATTTTGTGAATAAAGACACAGTTCTTGTTGGAAACATAGTTATTATTAAATTGTATTCATCACAAACAGCATACAAAAAGTGGTAAATATCTGAGGCAAACATGAACAATTTATAAGTGCAGGAGGAATGGAACAGAAGCGATAAGCTAAGAGTGCTAAGAGTCAAACAAAGACAGGAACAGAGCAAACGAAACGACTGCACAGTTTATAAGTTATATATATGTTAGATATGCAACAAAACTCTAGTCCACAGTCTCCGCGTATATCAGGCTCTGCCATGAGCCAAAACTACTTTTCCTTTGGTTTCTTCGAAGCGTGAAGCAGTCTGCTCCATAGTGCCTCGTCCATGCTCCTGCTGCAGCCGCTCCGTGCTTCCTTCCAATACACACACACGGACCAATCACAGCGGAGCTTCTCTCACACACGGACCAATCACAGCGGAGCTTCCTTGCGGCGACCCTTCCGTAGTTAGAAAATGTCGATGCTGCGCGGCAGGCGACGTAAGGGCCTTGCGGTGACCAACGCGTTGCGCAAGTGACGTCACGTCACCTCCGTAAGCTCCGCGCCGCGTGAGTATAAACTAGGCTTCAGAGTGGCTGGAGACACATGGTCCGGGCCAGGAGCTTTGCGGGGGTGCAGCCTCAAGAGGAGTCTTTTGATGTCTTCCAAGGCTATTTTCAGGGTGGAGGCAGAGCCGATGGGTGGGTCGTTAGAGTAATGGGGGATGGGGGAGGAGACCGGGGCAGCATCGAAGCGGCTGAAAAACCTGTTCAGGTCGTTGGCCAGTCTGTGGTCGTCAGCACAGAGGGGGGGCTTTGGGCTTGTAGCACAGTATTATAAAGTAGGCACTGTTCCTCATTTCCTAATGATGACTTCAAGGCAAGGCAAGTTTATTTGTATAGCACAATTCATACACAAGGCAACTCAAAGTGCTGAACAAGATAGCATTAAAATCATAAATAATCACAGAACATCAGATTCAGTTTATTTGCCATTTGCAGGAAAATAAAAACACATTGGAATACAAGTCTCCAGTGTGCACAGACAAATACAGACATGAAACAACATTAAAAGACAAAAATAAAACAAATAAAACAGTAAACAAATGTCACTGTGAAATCGATCGACTAAAACAGTTTCAAAACAAGTGCAAATCATTAAAGTGCTCTGTTCACACTGATAACAGCCTGTGGATAAAAACTGTTAGAGTAACGAGATGTCCTGCATCTCAGAGAACGTTAAAAAGAAAGATAAAAATATAAAATCCCTCAGTTGTAGCACAGCTAAACAGAACTGTCTTTAACCTGGTTTTAAACATTGTCAGAGAGGAGGCCTGTCTCACATCTTCAGGAAGATTGTTCCATATTTTAGCAGCATGAATCTGAAAAGCAGCCTCCCCATGTTTAGTTCTGACTCTGGGCACTAACAGGAGTCCAGTCCCTGTGCTCCTCAGAGTCCCAGCAGGAGTCCAGTCCCTGTGCTCCTCAGAGTCCCAGCAGGAGTCCAGTCCCTGTGCTCCTCAGAGTCCCAGCAGGAGTCCAGTCCCTGTGCTCCTCAGAGTCCCAGCAGGAGGCCAGTCCCTGTGCTTCTCAGAGTCCCAGCAGGAGTCCAGTCCCTGTGCTCCTCAGAGTCCCAGCAGGAGGCCAGTCCCTGTGCTCCTCAGAGTCCCAGCAGGAGTCCAGTCCCTGTGCTCCTCAGAGTCCCAGCAGGAGGCCAGTCCCTGTGCTCCTCAGAGTCCGGGCTGGTTCATATGGGACTAACATGTCACTAATATATTTTGGTGCGAGGCCATGGAGAGACTTGTAACAAGCAGAGCTGTTTTAAAGTCTATTCTCTGAGCCACAGGAAGCCAGTGCAGAGACCTGAGGACTGGACTAATGTGGTCGTACTTCCTGGTTCTAGTCAGGACTAATGTGGTCGTACTTCCTGGTTCTAGTCAGGACTAATGTGGTCGTACTTCCTGGTTCTAGTCAGGACTAATGTGGTCGTACTTCCTGGTTCTAGTCAGGACTAATGTGGTCGTACTTCCTGGTTCTAGTCAGGACTAATATGGTCGTACTTCCTGGTTCTAGTCAGGACTCGAGCTGCTGCATTTTGAATGTACTGCAGCTGTTTTACAGCCTGTTTGGACAGACCTGTGAGCAAGGCAAGGCAAGGCAAGGCAAGTTTATTTGTATAGCACAATTCATACACAAGGCAACTCAAAGTGCTGAACAAGATAGCATTAAAATCATAAATAATTACAGAACATTAAAACGAAAGATAAAAATATAAAATCCCTCAGTTGTATGCACAGCTAAACAGCACCGTTTTTAACCTGGTTTTAAACATTGTCAGAGAGGAGGCCTGTCTCACATCTTCAGGAAGATTGTTCCAGATTTTAGCAGCATGAATCTGAAAAGCAGCCTCCCCATGTTTAGTTCTGACTCTGGGCACTAACAGGAGTCCAGTCCCTGTGCTCCTCAGAGTCCGGGCTGGTTCATATGGGACTAACATGTCACTAATATATTTTGGTGCGAGGCCATGGAGAGATTTGTACACAAGCAGAGCTGTTTTAAAGTCTATTCTCTGAGCCACAGGAAGCCAGTGCAGGGACCTGAGGACCGGACTAATGTGGTCGTACTTCCTGGTTCTAGTCAGGACTCGAGCTGCTGCATTTTGAATGTACTGCAGCTGTTTTACAGCCTGTTTGGACAGACCTGTGAGCAGGCCATTGCAGTAGTCTAACCTACTGGAGACAAATGCATGGATAAGAATCTCCAAGTCTGCTTTAGACACTATGTTTTTGATCCTGGCAATGTTTTTTAGATGGTAAAAAGCTGCTGATGTTACTGATTTGATGTGGCTATTAAAATTTAAGTCTGAGTCCAGTATTACCCCTAGATTTCTGACCTTGTTAGAAGGTTTTAGGGAGAGAGACTGTAGGTGACAGATGACGCTCTCTCTTTGTTTCTGGGGACCAAAGACAATCATTTCAGTTTTGTCTGCGTTTAGCTGAAGGAAGTTGTTTTGCATCCACTCACTGATCTGTTGGATACAGTGAAGGAGTGAGTCCACTGGTCCATGTTCTCCTGCAGTCAGTGAGACATAGATCTGAGTGTCGTCTGCATAGTTATGATAGGAAACTTTGTTTCTGCGTATTAACTGACCTAACGGCAGCATGTAGAGATTGAACAGAAGAGGTCCCAGGATCGACCCCTGTGGTACTCCACAGGTCAGGGCCATATGATCTGAGACACAGTTTCCAATCTCCACAAAGTACTTCCTGTCTTCAAGGTAAGGACCTAAACCAACTTAGGGCGGTGCCAGCGACGCCAACCCAGTCCTCTAGTCTCTGTAAGAGGATCTCATGGTCGACAGTATCAAAGGCAGCACTTAGATCTAACAGGATTAGGATTGAGACTTTGCCTGCGTCAGTGTTCAGCCGGATATCGTTTGTAACCTTAACGAGAGCAGTCTCAGTGCTGTGGTGGGGTCTAAAGCCGGACTGAAACATATCAAATGAGTTGTTGATTATAAGAAATCTAGTAAGCTGTAGGTAGACAACTTTCTCAAGGACTTTCCCCATAAATGGCAGATTTGAGATGGGACGATAGTTGTTAAGTACCGTAGCATCCAGACTGCTCTTTTTTAGCAGGGGCCTGATGACTGCAGTTTTCAGGGCCTTTGGGAATATTCCAGAATCAAGGGACATGTTTACTATCTGTGTGAGTGAAGGTAACAGACTGCTCAGAACAGACTTTAGAAATCTAGTGGGTAGTACATCCAGGCTGCATGTGGAGGAGCTCAAACTGGAGATTATCTCTTGGACAGTTTGATCATTTACAGGTGCAAAGTAAGTTAGCTCAAAGAGCCTTTCTGGCTGTTGGATTGTTATC